TCTGTTCATTATGGTTTGCGCTGCAGAAAGACAAGCGCACAGATACCTTTTATTCATGGGGATCTTGCTGCTCCAATTGTTGAAGGAGCCGGTGATGCAGACCTCCTTGCCTCCTCCGGCCCAGCGGATCACTGTGGGTCGAGCCTGCCGACCCGTCTTCATGTCCTCTAGATCCGGAGCCAAGTCCTTCTCACCCACGGCCTGCAGAACAGAGCTGCTTTTGACTAGAATGATATGACAGCAAACTCTCCAGTAATTCACAGGAGGTCAGCTAATCATTCCTGAGGTCATTTATGAAACAAAGTCTTGATTACTGTTTACATATCAATAGTCTGTTTAATTGTCAGAGAGAGGCTGGAAGATGGTAATGATGACGATAAATATTAGGGCTGGGTTTTGACACAAATTTCACGATTCGATTCGATTCTCATTCACAAGCTTTCGATTCGATTACCAATTCGATTCGATTCAATATCGATTATTTTGGATATATATCAGGTACAGTACTTGCCAAATTTTCTCAAGGAAAAAAAATCTCTCAACTAATGCTGTAAAATATACATGAGTCATTTGGTACTGCATTACTATAATATTGAAGGTTAAAGTTGACTGATTTGTAAGCTATAGCATACAACTGTTAAAATTACACAATGAAGTTTTTAAAATAATAAAGTTACAATTACATAATAATAGAGATGCTCCGATCGATCGACCGAAGATCGGTATCGGCCGATAATCACATTTTATGACTCGATCGGGGCCAATATGGGGCCAATATTTGGGGCCATGAACAAAAGACAAAGAGAAAATCACTCCCTGCTCTTACCTAAATAACTTTTGTAGCTTAAATAAGAATCAGTGCATATTGAATTCAAAGAGTAAATACTAAGCGGGGTTTTCTTTTTCTTTTTTATTATTCAGTTATATTATTTTTATTATTATTCAGCTAAACTCATGTTAAATTGAAATTTTATAACATTAGTGTAATAAATTATGTAATGCTCGAGTAAAACGCATACCGTTCACTTTCAGAAGTTGTTGTAGGGGTGCTTTCTTATTAGAATCAGAATCAGAATGAGCTTTATTCACCACTTAAGTGTGCGCAAACACAAGGAATTTGTTCAGCTGAGTAAAACTGATTCATCTGAGCATGTGGCACTTTAAGAATTATCGTATCGCATATCGAATATCGCATTATTTAATGAGTTATCGCATATCGCATTTTTCTTCAATATCGCAGCATTCCATTATAAAGCAGAATTGATGTTATCTAGTGGAGTGGGTACATTTGTTCCTGAAAAGCTTGTTTGTTTTGTTTTGTCATGTGTCTTTTTGTGTATGCTTACTTCCTGTAACGTGTCATCGGCTGCACTGCATCACTGCAGATGGTTGCACACAACAACACACTTGTGTTTGCAAAGACGACATATCAGAAGATCTTTAAATTATCAGAAGATAGCGGCTCAGACTCTGGCAGTTTCTTAAAGATAAAGGTGAAGTATTTTCTGCACCACTAGCATCAGCATCATGAAATTGCAAAAATTGTTCTTCGAACACTCCCCTTGTATTCCATGGGTTGGTCAAACAGAGTCCCGTGACTCCCACCCAGACTCACACCATTGATTGAGCCAGGATGCTCAAACAAATGGAGCAATATTTTGCCTATAAAGAAGCGGAGGTTAAATCCCCAAATTCATTGAATTGCTCACTGATGATGAACATGTGCTCATGTCACACCTCCGGCTGTTAAAAACAAACAGTGCATTCATGGTTTTGGGTTCTGCATCCACAGGCTTGTAAATTGGATTTAGGTCTAACAACAGAGTTTTATGGTCTTATTTGATTTTAATTGAGGTCAAGAGGTCAAAAGTAAAGGGTGGTACTGACAGCACATCATTTTCTGTTAGGTGCTCCAGTTTGAATGCGTTTAATCTTTTGCTGCTCTCATTCTCATATAGCTTCCCGCTGTTGTTTTAATAACAGTGATCCTCAGATGAGTGTAGCCAATTCACCATGTGCCATCTGCATTATTTATCAGCGCAACTATTAATTATTTATTGAGCACTGTCATGAATGGGGCTGTTGTGTTTACACATGGGGAGTCATTTCACTGAGAATGGCATTGTGTGGTTCTAGATGCAGTCAAGCTGAATCTTATTCTTAAGCTTGCATGCACAAGGGACAATGCTTAGTTTACTTTTTTATATATGTGACTGTGTATGTTTATATATTTATAATAGTTTATATAATATAATATATAATATAATAAAACCCACCCTCTATCACACATACAGCTAACACTTGCAGGTCTCGCTTCCTCAATGTGTCTTCATCACTTGCATCATAGACATTTTATGTTTAACCTCTCTAGTGTCTATATCTTCCTTTTTCACTTTTTTTTGCTCCCTCGCACACACAAACCTTTAAAAATATGTTCAAGCTTTTAGCCTTGACCTCTGTTTAGTATGCCACAGAAATGTTCAGTAGGTGAAGCATTCAGTCTCTGCTTTAGCTGTGTTGTGTTAGTGCTAATGTCAAATACGTGGAACAGGTAAACCAGCTCTGTAAAGGGAAACTCCTTTAAAGGGAGTATGTTGTTAATCTTCTTAAACAATTAGTCTGTTTAGGTGAAACGTCTCTTTTGTCAAGATATGTTTCGACTTACACGCCCTTCACTGATGATGATTTTACACAATGTACTCTCACCTTGCCCAGATTGTTCTGATAAAACAAGCAGGTATAAGGGTGTTTGGTTTATTTATTATTTTTTTTAAGGAATAGTTCACCCATAAATGACAATGCATTCATTTGAAATTTCACTTTTGGTTTTGATTGATTGCTGTTTATTTATATGGAACTTATGGATTGTGATTTTGACCACCATTTTTATTAGAATTTTCCAAATTGTTGGACAGTCAGTCATAATAACTGTTAATAGGTTAATAACTTTGACTAATTTGATGTGAATAAGAATTTGGTGAAAGTTCATAAGGTTTGTAAGTTGTGTGGATACCACGAAAGTTTTCTTTTTTCTTCCATGCTCTAAATTAGTTGCAAAATGTATTATCTTAAGCCAGTTAAAGTGTGGTCTGTAATAGACTGAGCGTGTGTGTGTGTGTATGCCTGCAGGCGAATCTGTTTGAGCTGCCCTTCTTTCACTCATCTGTTCCCTTGGGCTCAGTGTGCCTGTAATATCTCGCATTTCTTTTTCCACTGACTGTCACCAGTCCTAATAATGACTTAATCTACCTGGAGATCTGAACTCTAGGGAACAGGATATATATTAACATTTAGATTTACAAGATTTATGTGTTTTTTTTTATTTTTTATTTTATAAAATGGATTTTTGATTTAGTTAGTTATACATTGCTTATTTGTAAATGTATTTAATCGTTTTTTTTTTATTTGAGTGATTTAGGATCCTCTTAATGTCAGCAGCTCTAAGCTACTGTATGCTGCAGAAAAGCTTCTAGCGGTTATAGGTCAAGTCTTTAGCTTCTCAGGGTCTGACACTTGTTAAAGATGATCTTTAATGTAATCTTATTAAAGGCGGTTTGTTTTCAGTGGCTGGGAGATCTGATCTGTGTGGTATAAATAGCTGTTGCTTTTATAAAACAAAGACTGATATTTCATAATATTTAAATGCTCCATTTTTGCATGCTTTATATTGCATTTGGCTTTATTCCTCCCTGTCTCTCCCTTTTTTCTTGTCTCAGGTTATGAAAAGACAGAAGACACATCAGAAAAGACTTCTCTAGCAGACCAAGAAGATTCCAGACTAATTTTTATCAGTCAGCCCCAGTTTACCAAGTTCTGCAATAATCGTGTCAGGTACGTGTCCTGTGCTTTGTATATTGAGTAAATATCAAACAAGGGCTGAACAGGCCTTCATGGTGACCACAGGGATGATGAAATCCAAGATGGTGGATGAGGTAGGTGAAATATTGATTACAAAAATGTATTTAGAAATGAGATTTATTGATTAAAAGTTTGTAAGTTTAAATACATGTATTATTTGACCTAATAATTGTTTGTGTAGTTTAATCTCATGATTAATACTTTTATTTAGCAAGAATGCAATATATTGATGAAAAGGGACTGTAAAGACCTTTACAGAATTACAAAAAAAATGTTTCAAATAAATGCTGTTCTTTTGATTTTTTTTATTATTATTCAAAGTATCCTGAAAAAATAATGTATAATGGTTTTCACAAAAATATTAAGCAGCACAACTATTTTCAACATGTTTCTTGAGCTCCAAATCAGCATATTAGAATGATTTCTGAAGAATCATGTGACTGTAAGACACTGACACTGGTGTTATGGCTGCTGGTTCAGCTTTGCCTTCACAGGAATATATTGCATCTTAAAATATATTTAAATAGAAAACAGTTGTTTTAAATTGTAATATTATTTCACAGTTTTGCGGTTTTTATCAAATAAATGCAACCTTGGTGAGCATAAGACACTTCTTTCTAAAAAGCATTTAAAAAAATCTTACTGTCTCCAAACTTTTTGAACTGTAGCATAGGCAACAAGGCAACTCAGTTGGATTCAGAACAGAACTCATATCTAATGTCACAGAAACAAAAACAAAAGTGTTATAAAACTGTTGAACAGACTGTACTGCCGGATGGATGGATGGATGAAGATGGTTTTGAAAAAGTGTCGCTGTGTTCCAGTTGCCAAAATGGCTCACAGTGTCCAAGTTACATATGGACTCATAGTGATGTATGGTAGGCAGAGAGGAGGTAGGAGCAGGCGCTGCAGTTAATATCTGATATCTGCTCAATCACACTCTGAATTACCAGTAGTTTAAAAAAATTACAATTGTGTAATTATTTACTCGCCCTCAAAAGCTCATCTTAAATCATGGAAATGAACTGATTTGAGCTTACAAATATTTTAGTATTGTTTGTGAATTGAATCCGATGTGATTGGTCTAAGATGCTTGGTGGTTTTTCTTTCACCCTGCAGTGAGAGAGCAGTCATCCAGGTGTCATGTCACTCAGACTGCAGACCTTCAGTACTGAAACCCAAAAGCATTTGATAGTTCCATCTAGTGATCATAACGGCCACTGCAGTCTGACAAGAGCATAATTACTCACTAATAATGCCGTCCTCTGATTAATGCAGGGAGGAACAACATGCTGTCTCATGTCTGGACTGTGCTTTTAGCTTTACAGTATATTGAGAGCTGCCTTTCATGCAACAGATAAATCAGTAGTTTTAAACGGTTGGCTTCTCTGTCAGATGTTTGCATTCCTGCAGTTTGAGAGGCTGGGGAGTGCTTGCTTTTATATGTTTGTATTTTATGACATGTAAACTGCCATGAGAAGAAAACAGGCTTTAGTTTTAATGGGTTACAGTCACGTTTAGCTCATAATGGGTGTTCATTTAGAAAGATCACACGCAAGGGTCAAGATATTTCCTTGTGCATTTGTTCTTGAAACAGTAACACCTAATATAGCATACAAATGCTTGTTGTGTTCCTTAAGTAAAATAAGAAGTCAGTAATTTAAAAGAATCTGTAGTTTGTACTTTTGTAGCTTTTTTTTAAATTAAACTCCATCCCAATTATAAAGTTAAAGTTTCTTGCATCAAAAATCTATTAATTTAGTTTTGCATGAGAATTTCCCACTCCTTTTGCTGCTCTATAGATATCTGTATGTAAATGACCTCCTTTGTGACTGGATAAACTCCACATACTGCCTTAGTTGACATTTGTCATTTATCAGGTTAGGCCAATATGGTTAAAGTTCCCATATTTTCAAAACTGAAATTTCCTGGCTTTTTTCATGATAACTGCGGTCTAGGTGCTATGCAACTACCATATAAGTTTCAAAACAGTCAGTTTCCAGAACTGTTGTGGTGATGATATGTAAACATCAGTTGTACTGTAAGTTCATGTGCTTGTGACATTAAGCTGCCAAAACAGGTCACCAACATTGACTGTAGTTTTCATAATTGGCTTGGATTTGTGTCATGAATGATAAATAATGTCTACATGGTACATTTAACTTCTTTATTGCAAAAGAGCACTATGTCATGGACTACTTTGAGAGCTGTATGTGTTAGATTAAGTCTAACGATGTATGGTAATTCAGGTCGAATGTGTTCGGTAGTATCGTGTGTTGAATGGTTTAGCTCCGTTTCATTTGGAAGTCATCGTCACCCATCAAGAAAAAACAAAGCAACCTCGGCATCCGATTCCAGGCCTTCCTGCTCCTTGAGTTCTCTCCACCGCTGGAAAGCTGCTCCAATATTTACACAGGTCCTACCTCTTGCCTGATCGAATACCTTCTTTATAATGTTTTGTTCCTCCGAAATATTCCTCTTTTTTTTATATATATCTGCCATCTCTCGCTATCTATAGTCGATCTGCTAATATCAGAGCGCTCTCATCTCCCTATCATTACTAGACACACCCCTTACTGCTGATTGGCAGCGAGTGTGTTTTGGGACTCCGTCCGACACTATGGTCAAAAGCGTTTTTCAAATATTGCTTAGTGCACCTTTAATATACATAGTCCATTGTGTGGCTGATATGAACTGTAGATCAAGTTCAAGTTGTTACCCTCGGTAGACCTTTCCTATCAGAGCTGATCGGCCAAACTGCTACCCATAGCATTGCTGTTGTACTGTACAATCAGGACTAGCAAACCAGTCTACAAGGAAGAGGGATCACTTGAACAAAATACTAACATTTGCTTTACCTGAACAAACCCAACATTCTGGAGTTGGGAATAGTGCGCATGCTAAGTTATATTAAATTACACCAATTAACACCTGAAGCAAACAAATATTATTAACATATCTCCTAACACAGCCCTTTTTTTTAACCAAAAAAGCATGTTTGCTCCTCACACTGTGCGCCTTAGGAAGACAAAACAGCTGTTGATGCGTTTGTAAATACTCCACCACCAACAATGCCACAACCTTCTCTCCATCAAAATGATTAACAGCACGTGGCTGAACCCTGAGGTTCATTTTGATGAGCGCTTACACTAGTCACCCCAGTGACTGTCTGATGAGCCAGCATCCTGAAGCCCTCGTGTGCGATACATGTTTGTTTAAAAGCATGATGACGCTAAGTAGTGCTAAACGAGCTGAGCGTGTGGGTTAAGCAGCCAGCTGAGGTCTAGAAGCAGACCTAGATCTGGTTTCTGGGGTTGTGTAGAGGAAATTGAAGGAGAGACGCAGGTCAGCTCTCTCTGCACCACTGTGAGAAAGCACATCATGTTGAGTTTATAACATCCATCAAAATGCTCGTTATTATTGTTAAATGAACTATACATTAGCAACCACGTTCAGTAAAATGTTTATTCTGAAGAACTTCATATATTGTTTGACAATGATTCATTTGATTTTACAATAGTAACAATTGCTCTAAAAACTGGAAAACTTGAATGGTGCTTATCGGTCCAAAACTTGTAGGTGTTACCATTGCTATGCAGTTGCTAAGGTGTTTTGAGTGGATGCTTGCATGTTACTATGAAGTTAGAATGTTCTTTGTGATTGCTGCTAGTGATTGTCTCTTATTTGTTTTTATTATATTTGTCCCCTAGATATTGTATTACATTTTATATTGAATTTTTTGGAAAAAGGTATAAATATGTGTGCTAGATGATGAGTATGAGGACAGATGGAGATATCATATTTCACTCTTGCTCTCCTCCATGAATTTGAGTTGCCCAGCAACATGGAAATGTGTTTCTTTATCTGAAGAACAGTATAGCTAGCTGCTAGCTGCTGTTAGCTACCTGACGCAACTACACTGAACAAAAGCTGAAAACTAGCCAAGAGAAAGTGGAGAAAAGCGAGAACGACAGGCTCCTGACAGAACTTTCCATCTCATACACTGCTGCTAATTGCCGTGCTACGGTGTGCCGTGGTCTGATAAGGATCTCTGTGAAGACTGGATCAGTGAAATGTAGAGACAGTGAGAGGACTCGTATCGCTTTCCATGTTAGAAACGTTCACAGACTGTCTCAGTCTCTCCAACGTGGCGCATTGTATTGTACATATTGTATTTTATATTATTTGTATTTTAACACATGCGTCATTTAATATATTTTTTTTATGTATTCTGATTTAAATACTTTTTTGGTAGCTGTGAATATTGTATTGTATATTTATTTTATATAATATAATTTTTTATTGTATATTATATTGTACTATATTATATTAGAAGCATTAATACAAATTCTGATGTTTCTTGGTGGGCTGGGAGTAATGTATTTTCAGTTTTACATAATTTTCTGTTGTGTTTGTTTTATATAATATTACTTTGCATATGTATTCGATTTTATTATAATTATCATTAATTAAGAATACTGTATTGTATTATATTGTATTGTTTTATATTTTATTATATGAATCATTAGTGAATAGTGAAAAAAAACAAATATTCTGATAGAAATTAGTGTTTTAGTTTTTTTTTGGTTGGCTGTTCTTTTGGCAAGTGGGTGGATAAAGAGGCAGGTGGGACGTTTATCTCAGTCTGAAGTGGCCTCGCTGTCTTGGGCCTAATGTGAGCGTAAATCAGTCGGCAGTCTTGAGAGAATGGAGGCTCTGGCAAGCTCCTACCGTAGTTCACTCAAATTCAGAGCTCTTTGCAGCCCAGTCTCTCTCCTCTTCAAACTTAGCTGTTCTTTATGGTAATTAACTGTCTCTCTCCATCACTCACTGCGTGTTTGTGCTTGAGTCTGAGGCTGGCACTGAGCCTGACACTGGGGCTTTGAACTGGGTGTGGCAAGGGGGAGGAAATTTGATTCGTGCTGGTGATTATGGTTATGCTTCCTGGTTATCAATATCACTTTTTATAATAGTGACCAACTAAAATTTGAAAACTGAGAAATTAATGGATGATAAACTTTGTCAGCCCAGTCTGCAGATGATGTCAGGTGGTTTTATATTGTGGTCATTCTTGGGATGTAACCACATTTCTGACTTCCTCTCCTCTTTTCTCTGCAGCACTGCAAAGTACAATGTCCTCACATTCCTGCCTCGGTTCCTGTACTCTCAGTTCAGAAGAGCAGCAAATTCCTTTTTCTTGTTCATCGCACTTCTGCAGGTAAGACTTCAGTGTCAGTCTCCAACCTTCCTCCCCCAGGGCAGGAATACTGATGACAAGCTGGAGAGATTAGGACTGTCAGCTCTCACAGATAAACATCTGTCTGTGGATTCCCTGACCCTCTGTGATCAGATACCAGGTTTCATAAAGGGATAGTTCACCCAAAAATGAAAATTTGATGTTTATCTGCTTTTTTGGGTGAACTATCCCTTTAAGTAGATAGGACTGATAGAAGAGCAGGGTGGAATCGAACTCAGACCAATCAATCAAACCAAGTGTGAAAACCTCAGTGATGTAGTGCTTTACATTACAATTTACAAGTATGTGTGAACAAACGTTACTTTGCTACACAAGGTCAGTTGTGTTGGGAGTTGTTTCAGATTTCAGTTTATAATGCCATGCCTGCCACAAGGGGCACTATTGTCATGGCTGACTCTCTGCTTGAGGAGAATCTTGCTGACTGTTGAAATGTTTATTGCTAGCTACCTGAATAATAACATGTCTGTTTAGATGGCACATCCTTTTAAAGGTAAGCATATTTCCTCCTTGAGTACTGAAGTTTCAAATGTTTGGAGTCTTTTGAAAGAAATTAATACTTTTTATTCTTAAAGAACGCATTAAATTAATCAAATGTGGGGGTGAAGACGTTAATGATGTTACAAAAGATTTCTATTTCCAATAAATGCTGTTCTTTTGAACTTTCTATTCATCGAAGAATCCTGAAAAATTTATCCGTTTCCACAAAAATGTTAAGCAGCACAACTGTTTTCAGCATTAATAATAATAAGAAATGTTTCTTGAGCAGCAAATCAGCATATTAGATTGATTTCTGAAGGATCGTGTGACACTGAAGACTGAAGTAATGGCTGCTGAAAATTCAGCTTTGCCATTACAGAAATAAATTACTTTTGAAAATGTTAAAATAGTAGTCGTAGAAGTAGTCGTTTTAAATTATAATAATATTCTGCAATATTTCAGTTTTTGCTGTTTTTGATCAAATAAATGCAGCCTTTGTGAGCATAAGAGGCTTCTTCAAAAAACATTTTTAAAAATCTTACTGACTCCAAACTTTTGAACAGTTGTGTACTGTTTATATTGCTTTTGAACCCTAAACAGATTTTGGTTGCACTGCTTCTGTGTAATTACCAGACGCTGCCGTCACCGAGAGGGCTCCAGTGTTATAAACATGCTGTTCTTTTAGAGACAGAAGGTACAATTACTCCACCACCGAGCAACCCGGCGTGACCCTGTAGATGCACCGCACATTAAATTAGCGCTGCTGTTTTAATGTAGCTCAGTCGATGACTGGGAGAAAGGGAGATGAAGAGAAACTGTGAGACAGGAGAGTAAAACCGAGCGAGTGAAGTGGCTTCGACGCACAGGTTCTGTGTATCTTCATTACGCCACTGTCAATGCAGTGACCTTGAAATGCACAGGCATGTTGTGAACGAGAAAAATGGGAGGGATGGGTTTGCTGAGGCAACAAGGGGGCCAAGGTGACCATCTGATTTTTATAGTTGCTGTTTCATCAAAACCGCTCACTTCCATCACACTTACAGAGTGCTGCTTCTGGATATGCCGTCATAATCAACAAGACATTTTGATGCTGACACCCAGGTTCCACGATGATCGACTGCTCTGGTTTTCTATGCCACTGTGGTTTGGTTGTGAGCGTACTCTCCTCTTTAAGTGAAACACAACGCAGAAGGGAAAGTGTTGGCATCAGGTTAAAAGGAATCCGTTTCGGGTTTCCTATTGTATGTCTTTGCATTGTTGGCCTCTGTCTGAACCTGTCACAGCTCCATCTGATAGGGGCACGTTCCAAAGATGATCCACTTCTTGATATTATGTAAGCTCTGTGAGTTATGCCAGAATCAGGAGAGAAACTGTAGAAGTTTAATCAAGTTCTGGTTTTGTGAATTATATATAAGCTTGAGGGCCCTTTCCCAACTGCCTGGACCGGCACCTAACCAGCCTGAACCAGTCTGGAAATTTATGCTAGTCTAAGCTGATCTCTTCAGCACGGTAGACAGATATGTCACATGGCGACTTCTGAACATCCATCAGAGTCGCTGCTGCTGACTTTCTGATGGTTATTGCCATTCCCTTAGGTGGCTTTCTTGACCTCCTGGTGATAAATACTAACACCACCAGGGACGTAGACCTTCAGGCTGTGTTATGATTGCTAGGAAACAAAACGAGAGCAGTTTATCAACCCCCTGAGTGTTTTTCATGAGGTCATATGTTTAAATGCTATGCTGGACTCTGAATTAATTTGTGTTTTTATTCATGCCCTGTAGATGACGAGATTTGTGTAACGTTTGGATGTTCTTGTTTTGATTTTGCTCTTCCGTTTTTTTTTTCTTCTCGACAGCAAATACCTGATGTGTCACCGACAGGGCGGTGGACAACGCTGGTGCCGTTACTCTTCATCCTGTTGGTGGCAGCAGTGAAGGAGGTTATAGAAGACCTGGTGAGAGCATTCAGTTATATGTGATTTGTTAAAATTAACTCACTGAGTAAATTAGTGTTGCATGATATATCGGTGCTAAAAAGGTATTGCGAAAACCTGCTTTTAAAAACTGTACGCTTCCGGATTTTACTAGTATTGGTACTTTAAGAATGTATTTTATAAAGAGCCATATTTCCTGAGTTGTGTCGATGTGCGACAGCAGGACAGTGTGCTTGCAGCGCTCTGCTTTCACTCCCTGCATGAACACTGGCCGTGCCAAACTTTATATATCTGTGCAACGCAGGACTGCTAAAAACTTAAGCAATTTAAAAGTGGATAAGAAACATGCATGAATGCGAAAATAAAGCGCGGGACGTGCTTGATGTAAAAATTAGTTGGTTAACCTTGAAAAAGAACTTGTGCAGTACTCGCGCCTCTTTCAGACAGCACGCAATCGCGAATTCAGATCTCTTTCACGAGTTATTGCGATTCAGCGGTCAAATACGCACACAATTATGTTAAAATGCCCATCTTGTCTTATGACTTAACCCTTAAAGACCTAGAACATTTTTGGGGCACCTGACAAGCCTGCACTTTTCTTTGTTTTTTTTAGACCTATTCTAGCAGTCAGCATCAAGTGTCATATATCATTATAAACAGGAGAACTTGAAGTTTCAGTCTAGCTAATTTAAATTCCCAGTTTTTTCCCTTTTGTTTTCTCTTAAGAATGAATGAATTTCCAGAATTTTAAGAAAACCGCAAGCAACAATTGGGTGTTTTTTACTGTGTACTCAAACAGAAACTCCTGAAGTTTGAATTTTTCTGAATTTTTTTGTATCTGGGTGTTTTACACTTCCAAATAAGATTGTCTACATATAACATTCCCCAAGCAAGTTATAGCCATTTATTACAATATTTATATAGGCTCTTTTCAGTGAAAAACAGGTCTATTTAGTTTACTAACAATATAGATGTGTCCAAAAAACGTTTAGGGAGTAAAGAAAATGGAATCAGTGTTATATAATAACAAAAAAGTGACTTTTTTCAGAGAAATATATTTTCAATCTGAGTATGAACAACAACAAACACAAACCGTGCAGATATTTAGTGAAAACAATTGCACAAATTGTCTTCAGCAACAAAAATACAAACAGTGCAAATGATTCACAAACTACACACAAAATGAGTGAGAAATATACAGTGTGCAACAGAAAAAATTGTGAAAATTATCTTTATGAACTATATAAGAATTATTTACATAATATACATAATATAAATGATCGATCCGCTGGCTGTACTCTGCATTGGAATTTAATTTACCGGGACATCACCTAGCGACGCGAAGACATAAATTCCAGTGCTTTATCCGATATGTTAACCTTGTTTTTGGTTTGTATTATGTCAAAGTACTCAGTCGTGTGTTTTTTTGGGCTTTTTCAGAGAGTTCTCTCATGCAAATGTGTTATTTTGTGTTTGTTTTCATGCACGCACGACAGACTTTACTTTCACTTTGCGTTTGTTCAACTTGTGAAAAATCCCAAATGGTGGTTCAAAAACCAAAACCTATGTTTATTGGTTGAATATGGCACCGTTTGAACCAATCTGGGCATGGGTGTGGGACTAAGTATCAACAATCGTTCCTGTTTGGCTCAGAGGAACGAAATGCATTGGTTTCTTCTGACGAATCAATGTTGTCAAAATGTAATGACGTAATCACGTACACTACGGAGCCTCTGGATATCCAAATAAGACAATTGAGATATCTCCGAAAATCTCATTTTTAAAGCATTCAGATAGGATTAGCGGTTCAAAAGTTATTAAACATTTAAGAACAATAGCTATTTTTAGCCGCGGGCGGCTGTCTCGGTCTTTGAGGGTTAAGTGAACATAAAAAGATGAGACAGCAGGCTAATATTCCTGCTGCTGTCTGTATCTATAATGTTCCATTCAAGTTTTCAATTCAATTCAAGTTTATTTGTATAGCGCTTTTCAAGATACAAATCGTTGCAAAACAACTTTACAGAAAATTACGTTTCTACAATAATTAGTAGTAGCTTATCAGTGGTGACTGTCAGTTAATGTACATATGGCAGAAATGTACGGAAAAATCAATTAAAGACTTAATCAAACAGACGATGAACACTATTAACAGCAATTATTATATGATGCAATCAAACTTATAGCAAAATGTGGTAGTTCTGTATGTTGTTTCAGGGTTGGCATCATCTGAGGACAGAACAAGCAAAGAGTTCACAGACGGCCTCCATAGCCATGACAGAACAGGCAGTGAGTTCACAAACGGCCTGCATAGCCGTGAGAGGACAGGCAGAGAGATCATAGACGGCCTCCATAGCCGTGACAGGACAGGCAGAGAGTTCAAAGATGGCCTCCATAGCCGTGACAGGACAGGCAGAGAGTTCACAGACGGCCTCCATTGTTTCTACAATATATTTAGTAGTAGCTTATCAGTGGTGACTGTCAGTTAATGTACATATGGCAGAAATGTACGGAAAAATCAATTAAAGATGTAATCAAACAGACGATGAACACTATTAACAGCAATTATTATATGATGCAATCAAACTTATAGCAAAATGTGGTAGTTCTGTATGTTGTTTCAGGGTTGGCATCTTCTGAGGTCCTCTGAGGGGTTTGCATCATCTCTTCTCAGGTGTTCTGGATCCAGACTGAAGCTTGTGTAAATCCTAGTTACCACGGGATGTCAATTTTGATCAGATATAACTGCAGTACAAGATTATGAGATGCATTATTTGAATGCCTGGCCAAAGAGATGAGTCTTTAATCTAGATTTAAACCGAGAGAGTGTGTCTGAATCCCGAAATTTATCAGGAAGGCTATTCCAGAGTTTGGGAGCTAAATGCGAAAAAGTTCTTCTAAAGGGATAGTTCACCCAAAATGAAAATTACCCCATAATTTACTCACCCTCAATCCATCCTGGGTGCATGTGATTTTCTTCTTTCAGACGAATACAATCTGAGTTATATTTAAAAATGTCCTGGCTCTTCCAAGCTTTATAATGGCAGTGAATGGGTGATATTCTGTAGTCCAATAGAAGTCCAATAAACTGTGCCAATCCATCATAAAAAAAAGTGCTCCACACTGCTCCGGGGGGTTAATAAATGACTGCTGAAGCAAAATATTTTTTGTAAGAAAATTATCCATATTTAAAACTTTATAAACCATAATCTCTAGCTTCCGCTAACTGGTATGCACGTACACGAGAGAGTGGCATTCCAGCGGATGACGTAGGCGAAGCTTAAACTCTGGTGAGAATAAGCTAGTCTCACGAGAACCAAATTTTGTTTACAGGAGCAAAAGAAAGCCAAGTTTGCTTTGTTCAGTAGTAGTTTCAAGATATTTTAGTCAGTTATCGTATCGCAGTCAAAATTGTGGTATCGTGACAACACTAGAGTTAAATGCATGTGAACTTTGTGCAGATCAATCGCCTTCTTCAGTTTATTTTTTTATCATTGGCAGTTGGTATGATTTTTAATGAGTGATTAATGAGAGAGAACTCTGCTCTTCATAGTGTCTGGAGTGCAGTCGTGCTTGCTGTAGGTTTTATTCTCTCTTGCCCTTCACAGCTGTTATATTATCGGAGTCAGTTTTTAGACCGCGTTCACGTTTACCTCTTTTACTCTTCCTGATAATTCTATCTCACTCTCTGGTGATCATGTACACGGCAGAATGCATCTCACTCCCATTAGCCGACACCTTTTTTTTTTTTTTTTTTTTGGCAGTGAATGGGTGATATTCTGTAGTCCAATAGAAGTCCAATAAACTGTGCCAATCCATCATAAAAAAAAGTGCTCCACACTGCTCCGGGGGGTTAATAAATGACTGCTGAAGCAAAATATTTTTTGTAAGAAAATTATCCATATTTAAAACTTTATAAACCATAATCTCTAGCTTCCGCTAACTGGTATGCACGTACACGAGAGAGTGGCATTCCAGCGGATGACGTAGGCGAAGCTTAAACTCTGGTGAGAATAAGCTAGTCTCACGAGAACCAAATTTTGTTTACAGGAGCAAAAGAAAGCCAAGTTTGCTTTGTTCAGTAGTAGTTTCAAGATATTTTAGTCAGTTATCGTATCGCAGTCAAAATTGTGGTATCGTGACAACACTAGAGTTAAATGCATGTGAACTTTGTGCAGATCAATCGCCTTCTTCAGTTTATTTTTTTATCATTGGCAGTTGGTATGATTTTTAATGAGTGATTAATGAGAGAGAACTCTGCTCTTCATAGTGTCTGGAGTGCAGTCGTGCTTGCTGTAGGTTTTATTCTCTCTTGCCCTTCACAGCTGTTATATTATCGGAGTCAGTTTTTAGACCGCGTTCACGTTTACCTCTTTTACTCTTCCTGATAATTCTATCTCACTCTCTGGTGATCATGTACACGGCAGAATGCATCTCACTCCCATTAGCTGACGCTTTTTTCCTGACCTGAACTATCGTCTTATTTGCCATGTAAATGAGTTCCAAGACCTTTTTACATAGAAATTTACATAGAGGAGTGAACACTGAGATAAACCGCCAGCCCAAATGGATCCACCATAGTGCTGTGACCCTGAAATCAGAGCCTGCTCTCCTGGCTCCCTCTGGACAGCCATCCGATCACATCACGCTGGATACTGTGGTCAGAATGACCGGCTCAGCACTTTATATGGGTTTCTGATGTGTTATTCAGGTCTGAAAGGTCAAGACTAGCTCTGGACGTGAAGGTCATATTGTAAATTCACCTCTCTACTGTCATACTGTGAGTGGAGGTCACATGACCTTTGCTTTCTTTTCCCTTCAAGTAAAAACAAACTCTAATTTTAGAGATGTCCCATAAGGTGAGAGAAAGGCTTCTCTTGTTACTCCGAGTGATAGCTTTTCTTTGTTAGACTTTGATGGCTTGTTTTTGTATTTAAAGAAAGTTCACCAATCACCAGAAAATGAACTAATTTAATTAATTTACTCACACTCATGTTGTTCCAAACCTTGAATGACTGGCTTTCAAACACAAAAGCAGATATTTTGCTGAATGTTCACACTACTTGTTTTCCATACAACGGATGTAGACTGTGACAAGGGGCTTTCATCTGTAGCTTCCTAATGGGAAGTCACAGTCTCAAGCCATGTGAATCAATTGTGTTTTTCTTGAGTAATCAAGTTTAAGGAGCTGTTTTTCATGAGCTGTCAAGGACTTTAAATGTGGTGCAGAAGTACTTTTATGGTTCTTTTATTTTTTTATTTTTTTTTGTAAGCTTGACGAGCCTTACTCATGGTCTGCCTTCTTTGTATAGAAAAAAGCAGCTTGGTCATGCTGCTAAACATGATCCACTTTGGATTTATCATCTCCAGTTTCATCATACTTTTAAAATGTACACTACTGTTCAAAGTTTTTCTTTTTGCAAGAAGTGTCATTTACTTAGCAAGGGTGCATTTATTTGATCAAAAATACAGTAAAAATAATAATGTGAAATTTTATTGCAATTTAAAAGAACTGTTATATTTCACTACATTTTAAAATTTGATTTATTCCTGCAAAGCCATTCATTATAATATCATTCTAATATGCTGATTTGGTAGTTTAAGAATTTTTTTTTTATTATTATCATTTGTGCTGCTTAATATTTTTGTGGAAACAGTGATGCTTTTTTCAGGATTCTTTGAAAAACAGAAAGTTCATAAGATTGATTGAAATTATTCAATCAATTTTATAATGTTTATACTGTTTTAGAACATGATAAATGTCTTTACTGTCACTTTTGATCATTTTAATGCATCCTTGCTGAATACAATTAATTTACTTAAAAAGAAGAAATCTTACTGACATCAAACTTTTGAATGGTTGTGTAGTTTAGAATCTCACTTTTTGTTTGGTTCTTTCTTACTGTGTCTTTATATATATATATTATATATAATATACTGTATATGTATGTGTGTGTAAGTGGATGTATATAAATTTCAAAAGAAGCCAGCAGGCTCAGTATAATCCCTAACTCGTCATAATCTGGCATCCAACAAAGACCGAGTCTAACAAAGAGGTGACGTGCCAGTGCTCTCCACACATTGGCCTGCTTATCAGCTGCACCCCACTGTACTCCACTAATCCATCTGGGATTTGGTGCTGCATCTTACCACAAAGACAAACCACTGTCTCCTCTTCCCTTTGGGGCCTTCTTGTACTGTTAAATATCATCCTTCCTCTTGCTCCCATGTTCACTGCAGGCAAGCCATCAGTTAGATTAGATGCGTAATCAAATCATCTCTTCCCTCCGCAGAGACTGATCTCTGCTCCATGTTGAGGTGAAGGAAAAAGCGAGGGAAATAGAAACAGAGGAGATAGGAGAGAGTGAGGAGAAAGAGAAAGAATGAGTTATCCAGCACTGCACCAGAGCTGATTTGGATGATTAATGGGATCTGAGACCGGTCTAACTTTTTCTTTCTCCTGCAGAGGTCATGTGACATGGGCCGCTCAATAAGCTCTCCAGTAATATGAATGTGGCCGTTTGTCACATTTAATGTTATTTTAATATAATATCAATTTGAGAGAGATGGGGAGGAGGAAAAGGTATATTTAGAAAGGCTGGAGAGATGCGGTCTCCATGTAATGGCAGCCTGCAATTATTTATTTTTCTTTTTATGCTATTTTTTTATAATGCAGAGTATATAAGCAAGAGAGATTTTGATTTTTTTTTTTTTTTTGGATAAATTGTGTCCATGTAAACAAATTCCATTTGTACATAGTCAGTAGCAACATTACACTAAACTTCATTAGAAAAGGTCTGTAAACAAATGAATGGCTTTATTTTACAGATATAATGTGCATTTATGTAACCGGTGCACGTGGCACTTTAAGCATAGTATCATCATTTTAAGTTATTCCGGTTTCTCTCATGTTGTCTTATGAATGTCCATTGTGCCTAACAGCACATAAACCAGTCATCACGGACAAACAGAAGTGACACTGGACATATTTTAACACTGTTAACTGGGAGGATAATTAGGCAGTCAGAGAGCACTGGAGATAGATTTAGATTTAGAGCTTTAAGAGGCTAATCAGTGTTTTTTCAGATCACTCTCACTCATTCGCCTTTGCTCTCTGAGATAGAAAAGCTCAAAATGGTTCTCGATTAGAGCAGCTCAAACAGCTCTTGTAATCTGGGACAGAAAAAAGTAATTCAATAGACAAACATCTCGCTAAGCACAGTTTTATTGATTACTAAACATGTAAAACATCACTCTTTCTCTCTATATAAAGAATTTTTATTTTATTTACTAAGAGGTTTTAGTTTTTTTCTAATGACCGTGTTGAATGCGTGCTGTATTTATATGTCTCTAATATTTATGTGTGCATATGTGTGTCAATATTCTTCTATAGTGCACATCTAGAAGAAAGTAATACAATCCATAAAATAAAGTCCATCCATCTAAAATTATTTAAAGCTGTGATTTGGCTCATTTGATTAATAACATTTGTTTTTTCCAGAAACGTCACAATGCTGATAGTGTTGTTAACAAGAAAGAGACACACGGTAAGACTTTTGTTTGTTCACTGTTTGTCTTTAAAAAAAAAAACATTTGTCTGATTAGATTTTCTTCCCTAATTTAGAGTATTTCCTGTTGAAACAAAGATGAGGTGGGACGTAAATAACTCATGAATTTTGTCATTCAACCATTGGCTGTTATTTACTAGTTAGGCGCTACCCTTCTAAATTAGATTTGCCAAAAAATTGGACACAGCCATAAGTACAGGATGAGTCAGCATTTAGTAATTAGTAATTTTCATATCTTTTTCCTGCAAGAAGAAGACAGTCAGCTTTAAATGTCTGTATATATGCATTTTTATATCATGGGGTCTTAGTCTGTGTTCTGTGGGTTAGTCTGTGGATCTTTTCTTTACATACTTTTCTGTTATGGTGATCTTTCTCTCTTTCTCTCTCTTGTAGTATTGAGGAACGGCGCTTGGGAGATTGTACATTGGGAGAAGGTACTGCAGCAGATGCTGTTTCTCATACCAATTGCCTCACTGAGTTCCAGCATGAAAATAAGTTGACATACTCTTAGAAACCGAGTGAGAAATGAGTATGCATAAAAGATGCCCACTGGTGTAAACCAGAGCAGGTTTGGGTTGAAAACCGATACTTTGGTGTTGTCTGAAGAGGGTACTTCCCTCGCAGCTCTTTTTCTTTTGTTGATTCCCGACCCTATCTTTTAGGTCAAGATAGAGTTGTTCACCAGGCTGCAGCTTACGTGCGGTCTCCATAGAGATCTTAATACAGCCAGACACAGAGCAGCTTTTCAATGTGTTAGTAGAGAGTAGAGCTAATTACCTTAACAGAAACACACAGTCCATTATTATAAGGTGAAAGCAAAAGGAATATAATTACCTGGTGACTGGGCATTCATTAGCATTTGCTATATTAGTGCACATCTGCGAGAGTGCATTAACTTGTGCCCTTGTGACCTCACCGTGGCACAGAATAGGATGTGATGTCAACTATGACTGCTTATAGTTGTTTCCTTTTAGTATATTATTTTCTGGAGCTGCAATTCTGCTAAATACTGCTAGAATGGACGGTGAAGTACAATAATGATTCTGCTTTAGCTCTCATTAAATCTAGTTTTATTTTTATTGTCATCTCATCAATATTCAAACCAGAGCCAGGCTTCTTGTCGCCCATCCTTTTATTAAGCCACGCTGTGACACACTTTGAAATACAGTGTACAGTATGAATAATGTATTTGAATACTTATAAATCGTATATCAACTCATGCATATTTAAGTAGCTCTCCACTTTGATTCAAAATAGCAGCTATGAAGCAGCGTCCCCCACTTCTACTGGATTATGGCTAATAAGATGATTAAAAATGCAAATCCAAAAAGATAAATTGTTTATTTGTGGATCTCACAGAGAATACTTTTGATTAAATGGCCTCATTTTAAATGCTAGTCTCAAAAGAAGACTTATGGATCGAAGTACTTTCTTAATATGAAATGCATAGTTCTTGCCAATGTCAGCCAGATGTATTGGCTCTAGTAATATGTTATTTCTCTACTCTCGCCAGTGGCTGCTAGTTTGCTATAAAGTTTTTGAACTGATAACTAGTTCGTGTTTTACAGGTTGTGGTTGGCGACATAGTTAAAGTTAATGGCAAAGATTTCGTACCAGCAGATGCTATACTGCTGTCGTCCAGGTAGACGAATCTATGTCATCAGAAGGGAACTTGTCCGTCCTTTTGCCCCTGTCTCACACTCAACACCAAAAGGAAGTGATGATTAACAGGCTAATAACAAATAACCCTGAAACAAGGCCCCAAATCAATGCAGTGACATTACAAATAGTATCAGTTAGGGGTTGTAGTAATATAAATGTTATTTGTAATCCACAAAGGATGAAGGTTTAAATGACTAGTTCACCCCAAATTGATAATTCTGCCATCGTTTACTCGTTTTTTTTTTGTTCCAAACACAAAAGTAATAGGTTTTTTTATGAAAGGAGGTGAATAAATGGCACAAGTTTCATTTTTAGGTGAGTTATTCTTTAATAAAATTAATGAAAAGTCAAAATCAACACTTCCTTTAGTGGATGTTTGCTTATTGATTAATATTGACCTGATGAAGCTGTGTTCAACATTATCATCTTCACTGTCAAAATCCATTTGCCAGCCAGGCCTTAAGTTCTGCGGTGTTACAGACGTTTTTTGTCAGTATCATTTCTGAAAGCATTTTTGTTTTCTCCCACTTTACTGGTGGTTTAGCCTGGCTTGGGTGTATTTTGAGCAGTGGACATTGTGTTTTATCCTCTGTGAAGATTAAATGTTTGTGTCTCTCTTCCCTTGTTGTTTGTGCTCTTCCTCCTCTGCCCATCTTATGTCCTTTCCCTCCTCTCATCTCCACCTTTCACCCTCCCCTCCCACATCATGTGATGAACAACCTTCTCCCGACTTCACTCGCATCATTCCCCTTGCGTGGGGGCTGCTGGGTAAATTAAGGTGTCGGTAGGTGAGGTAGTCCGAGCAGCCAATGGAGATCACCTCCCGGCCGACCTCATCATTCTGTCGTCCAGGTCAGGAACAGCTCCGGTTTGCATGCGGGCTAGGTGGGAAGGGGGTGCACAGGTGGAGAGAATCTGCTACCTTTTATTTCTCTCTCTCCTCTTTTTTTTATTTATTTATTTATTTTTGTAATTTTGGTTTGGCCTGGTGCATCCTGTGTTTTGTCAGCTTTTAATGCTATTCTTGGTTATGCCATTTTCTTAGCTATGATCTGATTGATATTGCTGGGTGATATACATTTTTATTTTTTAAAACATTAATATAAGATTATTATATATATATATATATATATATATATACAGTGGTGTGAAAGTGTTGGCCCCCTTCCTGATTTCTTATTTTTTTGCATGTTTGTCACACTTTAATGTTTCAGATCATCAAACA